TTTTGTTACTGAGGTGTTGAAGCGTTCTATAAATTCTAGGGATAAGTCCCTTGTCAGATATGTTATTACCAAATATTTTTTCCCAATCTGTAGGCTCTCTTTTGACTCTTTTGGAGAAGTCTTCGGAAGCACATAAAAATTTAATTTTTAGAAGGTCCCAATTATCTGGCTTCTCTTCTGCTGTTGGTGCATTTTGAATTATGCTTGATAGTCTATTTATACCATATATTAGGGCCCTTAAATTTGACCCTAAATTTTCCTTGAGGAACTGTATAGTTCTAGGTTTCACATTTAAGTCTTTGATCCATCTGGAGTTCATTTTTGTGTGTGGTGTGAGGTACAGTGGCAACAAATTTTTGTCTCTAGTGTTATATTTATCTTTCCTCAATCTATCTTTCACATTGTTCCTGAAGTACTCTTTCTAAAACATAATCCCCTGATTAAAATCTTCCAAAGGTACTTATATGTAAAGTCTAAAGACAGTATCTAGGAGCTCTGGTAGAGTAGTGCCTAAGGCATTTGACTACTAACCAGAAGGCTGGTGGTTCAAACCCACCAGCCACTCCTCCGAAGGAAGGTTGGGCAATCTACTTCCATAGTGATATCACCTTGGAAACCCAAGGAGGGGTCGCTATGAGTCGGGTCCAACTCGATGGCACATAACCACAACAACAAAGAGAAGCATCACCAATTAAAATGCTAGTAATGGTTACTGATGCTAGTAATGATTACTGATTGATGGTGCTAATTCAATACTATTGTACATTTCTGTTTATTCTACCAAGTCTAGCAAGATACAGAGGGACTTTCATGATTCTGACCTCTGTCTCCTTCTCTCCAATCCTTCTTAAATTCTATGCTAGAGCCATGTTCTGCTTAGGTTCTCTAATCATCCATTGTTTCTTATCTCTAAGTCATAGTTTACTGTTCCCTCTGTCTGAAATGTTCTTCCTTCACCACTCTTTTTTTGCAAGATAAACATATTTTCAACTTTCAAGACTCAGCCTCAAACATCACCTTCTTCTATGACACCATCAGGTTGAACTGACTCCTCCCTTCTTTGTACATCACTATATCCTACAAGACATTTATTATTTTATCTACAATATTGGGCAGCTCATACTTTACTTTTGGGAACACTATATTGGCCCACAAACACTATGTTATAAGGTCTTTGAAGATGGGCACTGAATCTCAATTTATCTTTGTGTTTCTATGCTTAGTTTGACAGATTATTTAATAAAATACTGTTGAATGAACAAGTCTATCATTCTACCAGTAGAATAAAATACATATATGTAGTTTATACATAATTATTTCATAATCAAGAAACTATTTATAGAGTAGGTACTCAAAAGTTTATAGACCAATGAACTAAGCAATTAGTAATTACAACCATCTACCTTAATAATAATCAAGATTAGTCATTAACTAATAGAAATCTATAAATGGACTTAGACAAAGTTTTTCTATATCACAATAACACTAAGACATCTACACAGAAATAGCTTGCACTTGTGCTAAACAACATGACTCCCTCAGTTATAATAAATTGCTTTTGGTTAAACATTTTAAATGACTTCTAAGAAATGTCATATTTATACATTTAATTTTTATTTTAAAAATTATAAAAAGCTAAGTTATATTTTTGTTTTTAGAATAGATATTTTGAAACAAGGACAAAACTATGAACTTTTCTCCCAATAACACACATACTTACCAACTGTAGCATACAAGCTGCTGCCAAAATGGCAATAACTCGACTAGGTTTTATTAAGACATCATCTCGATACAGTGAACCAAATGCAACTTGCAATGCTGAAAGCAAAAGTATTTATGTAGAATGAAACAACAATTATAAAAATATGGTATTTAAAAAATAACAATTGACTATCTTCACACAGAAATACAACATGTATCTAAATCAGGTATGTACACAAAAGGAAAAGAGAAGTACCACCAGTTAAAATGCTAGTAATGGTTACTGATTGACAGTGCTAATTTAATAACATTGTACATTTCTGTTTATTCTATGAAGTCTAGTTGGATTCTTTTAGTATCTAATCTGAATGTCAGTGGTCAGAATTAAGATACCCTTGGAAGAAGTTTTATCATAATATCCTTGAGTAGATTAATTTTAAGCAGAAAGATCCAATGATGATCTTAGCCCTGATGTTTCACCACTACAGAGTGTGGCATAGCTCCTGGTCTTGTCCATGCCACACACCCCCAGTGGTGACTCACTGAATGCACAGCTTACATGTTATGTACGGGGAGTTGCTTCCAACTCATAGATAACTTCTATGACAGAGTAAAACTGCCCCCATGGGGTTTCCCAGGTTGTACTCTCCACAGAAGCAGACTACCAGGTCTTTTTCTTAAGAGACAGATGGTGGTTTCGAACTGCCAAGCTTTCAAGTAGCAGCCCAGCTCCTTAACTCTTTAACAGATAAGGCTTACCAATGATCACGTAAGCAAATGAGAGATTTACCATTCAAACTCCAGTGCATCAAACCCAAACTCTTGGTCGCGTCTCTCTGACCTGATCCTTAATATCTCCTTAGCTTTAGTACTCACTTCCATCTCCATTTTATGTCACTGCTGTAGTGGTAAATTTCATATGCTTGTCCCCAACACACCCACCAAGTACATTTCACCTCTGTGTCTTTAGACTAGCTGAACTCTCCACCTAGAATGACCTCAGACATTTATGCCCAGCTCTCATAGTTGTCTAAGCTTGTCCATCCTTCACTCTGCTGCCACTCTCATGTGTAGCCCACATGGTTGCTTTGTGAATATTCTTAAATTTTCTTTTTGACTATGTGGTTGGTACTAGGTTACCAATAAGGGGAAGAGAAAACCCACTGCCATGTAGTCAATTCCAACTTACAGAGACCCTACAGGACAGAGTAGAACTGCCCCAAGAGGGTTTTCAAGGCTGTAAATCTTTATGGAAGCAGAATGCCCTTTCTCCTGTGGAGCAGCTGGTGGGTTCAAACCACTGACCTTTTGATTAGCAGCCATATGCTTTAACCACTGCGTCACCAGAGCTCCTTGACGGGAATAGAAGGAGCACTCGAACAGGAGGTAAAAGAGCTGTATAGTGTATTCTAGGCTAACTAAACTGCTCTGAGACCCAAAATAAGTCCCTTAAATCCTCTGGACCTCCACTTCCTTACTAAGTACCTTTATAACTCTTAAAACATTGTGTTTACATGAGTCATATACTTATTGCTCCCAGAAAATAATTCATGTATAGGGAACAGTAAATGAATGTTATTTGCCAGATTTTATATGTAATTCTTTTATTTTTTTATTTTTTTAAAAAGGTCTTCTTTCATTCTATGTCCTCCATATCCCAGGCAGCTATATTTACAAAGATAAGTAAATAAAGTAAGGCCCACATGACTAGATTAGGGATAGGTAGAACAGAACTATGGAGTAAATCAGTATAAAGTTATCTCCTTGGGATGTTTAAATGGATCTTTTCTTAGCTTACAAGGTTAGAAGAAACTATTTTTTTATTTTCTACAAAACGAATAAAAAGGTTATGTTTTTATGATTTGTGTATAATTATAATTTGGTGATTACCTTCTATATCAATATTCTGGTCAGGAATTTCCAGTTCAATAATATTCATGCTGGATTCTTTCCAAGAGCCACTGAACATACTAGAAAAGTAGCCAGACTTTAAAAAAAAAAAAAAAAAAAAAGGTCAATGATTATGCTGTACTTTGTGTCTGCCAAATTATTTTCCCATTTCTAATTTTGAGCAACTATCCTATCATAACTTATCCACTACATTAAGAGAAAAAGAATTGCCAAATATGTCTATAGAGGAAAAGAAATTAAGATAAGGACATTATTAATTATATCAAAGTATACCAAATACTTTCAATTTAGTACTAATTTAACAAAACAACCAAATCCACCTCCATCAAGTTGATTCCGACTCATGGAGACCCTACAGGACAGAGCAGAACTGCTCCATACAGTGTCCAAGGCTGTGATCTTCATGGAAGCAGAGTGCCTCATCTTTCTCCTATGGAGTGGCAGGTATGTTCAAATTATAGAACTTTTGGTTAGCAGCTGAGCACTTAACCACTGTGCCACCAGGGGTTCTTAATTTAACAAAGACTAAACCAAATGCTCGACGGCAAATAACAACAACAACAAACCAAATTCTATTACTAAGTGAACTGAATTTCTACATTACTATTTGAACCTCATTAGCTTTTTACTTAGTTAAAACACAAATGGCAATTAAGTAAGCTTAGTTACTTCTTTTAACAAGGCAATTTCTGAGTATATTACACGTATATGTTTTCTTTTCAATGAGATTCTAAACTCAAGCTTAGAATTAAGTCATATATTTATATATCTTTCATAAATATATAACACACAAAGTAGATAAATAATAATACAAGGGGAGAGGAGACTAAAAAGTTCTCAAGCTGTTAAATCTTTACTGTACCTCAGTATAAAGGGTCCAGACTAATCCTGAATCAGTCCTAATAGGATAAACCCCCCCAAAATTTAGGAAAATCCAAAATTTAGTTTTATCTAAATTATCAGAATGGACTTGAAATCTTACAACAGTACAAAAATGGATGAGGTCTTTAGTTACCTTCCAGAGAGCATTCTTCATAATTAGAATTACCTTAAGAATGTGTCAAATAACGTTTACATGAGGTAGATACACTGCTTGGAGAGAACAATCATGGGAGAATAGAAGGGCTGTGTATGCACAGGGAGACAGCTCAGGGGGCAGGAGTGCATGGAAGGGAAGGACACAGGGAAGAGGTAACTATGGGGAGGAAGTAGGAAGGGACCTGTTGCATTGTGGGAAACTGCAGTCAATGCCATTAGACAAAGTGTATGCGAGCTGCTGTTTGGAAAGTGAATTTGCTCTGTAAACTTCTACCCAAATCACACACACACACACACACACACAAAGAATGTCAAATATTAACTAATTTATTTTAAATTTTATTAAGTATTTAGTATGTAATGGCACGATGAATATAGCAATAAAGAAAATATACTTTGCTTCGGTCCTCAGGTGGTTTCTATTTTAGCATGTGGCTTGCATTTTAATTGATCCAGTTTTTCTTGGGAGGGAAAGTCATAAAAGAGGCCTTCTTATTCTCTAGTTCACAAAAACTGGTGATAGAAAAATAAATAAGACATGGACCATATATCCTCAAGTTGAAATCAATATTCTGTTATATTCTCTGGGCTATATACTTCAAGTCAAAATAGTTCAAAAAATTTAAATAAAAAACATTATGATTACAATGCTAGAGAAACAATTCTTTTAAAAATACTTCAAATGAAAAATTTTATACTATACTGTCTTATAAGTAATTATTCTCAGATGGTGAAGAAGACAGGTAAAATATAAGCTCCAAAGAATAAGAACTGTTCTGTTCACTGCTGTATCCCCAGTGCTTAGAAAAATGCCTACCACATAATAAATCTCATTATTGAATGAATGAATGAAATATTTAAGCCATTAGCGGTAACATTTTCTTCTATTTCGAAAATTTTGAATTTTTAGGATGGAGTAATGTTTTCAGCCCAGAAATTTTAAGTATACCAGCTAAATGACTTAGTCTTTAATTAGATTTCTGAGGAGAGAGGGATGAGTAAGTGTCAGGAATGTCCACTCATGTTCAACCTTAACTACAAAGGAACATTTCAAATAAATTTATCCAACTGAAATAATCATACATAAAATAAACAAATTCAGCAATCTTAACTTTAATGTTAAACATTTTTTTTTCTAACTTTTCCCCTTTTATCAACAGAAGGAACCAAAATAAGCAACTAATTAAGGAAATGTCAAGAATTAACGTTAGTCTGGGATGAAAATGAAAATTTAAAATGTTTTCCAGACCACAGTGTTCATCATTTTCTGATAAGACAGACTTTTTTTTTTTAAATCAGATTAGAATACCAAACAATTACTGTCCATGCAAAATATTAGTGTCAAATTCAGTGAGAAAAAACATGATTTAAAAGAGTTTGAGAGTTTTTTCTGAAGTGGTCAATTCTGTATGCACACAGAAAACATAAAATACTTACTTGACATAAATATATTTTGTGTAAGCTCCACTCTTCTCCTAGGGCACAAATCTTAATGTCACTATTTTCACCATTCAAAAACAATGTCTGATAAATATATTTGGACGTACTCTTTAATTTTTTCCTGTTAAAAGAAATACAAGTTACACATATGTAAAACAGTGTTTTATTGATTTTGCACTAACTCAAAATACCCCTTTTGTTCAAGTTCTATTACAGTTAACATGTCCATTCTGTAAAAGGATGGGGGATATTATATATTTGTCTTGGCTCATATATGGAAGAGTACAGGAAGGACTATTAAGAGTGACTACCTCTGGGTTCTCTATTCATGGGAGGGGTGTCAGTGGATAAATAGGGTAGCATGTACCTTTCACCATACACCTTTTTGCCTTCTTTGATTTTTGAACTAAGTAAATTACTTATTCAAAAATGAAGAAATTAAGTCAGCATGGTGGAGCAGCACTACAGGGGATCTCACTGTAATGTCGATAACATTGGTAAGCAACTAAAATGTGGGGAACAACAGTGAAGTTCATTCAGACAAATAATTTTTTTTTCCTAATTTTTATTGTGATTAGGGTGAAAGTTTACAGAACAAATTCACTTTCCATACAGCAGCTCACATGCACTTTGTCTCATGGCATTGACTACAATTTCCCACAATGCAACAGGCCCCCTCCCACTTCCTCCCAACAGTTACCTCTTCCCTGTGTCCATCCCTCCATGCACTCCTGCCACCTGAGCTGTCTCCCTGTGGATACAAAGCCCTTCTACTCTCCCATGATTGAGCTCTCCAAGGAGTGTATCTACCTAATGTAAATATTCAGCACATATGCCTGTCTTTTGTTTGTCTGGAAGCCCCAGGAGTGGTTTCAATTCTAGACCTGAAGGGCACCTAGGGGCCATAGTCTCAGTGGTGCCACCAGGCTCTATCAGACAAGCAAACCTGATCCCCCTTTTTTTATATTCATGATTTTGAGTTTTGTTCCACAATGTTCTCCCACTCTATCCAGGATCTCCTACACTGATTCCCCTGTGAGTGGCTGACAATAATAGCTGGGCACCATCTGGTCCCGGTCTCGCAGTCATATAGTCTGAGGATTTCATGGTGTACCAGTACTTGGACTAACTGTTTCCATGCATCTTTGGTCTTCTTCATTCTTCTTTGCTCTGGATGAGAGACCTATCGTTGCATCTAGATGACCTCTTGCAAGCTTTTAAAATCCCAGTCGCTACTTGCCAAAGTAGGATGAGGAACAATGTTTTTGTGTAATATGTTATGCCAATTGAGCTTGATGTCCCATGCAACTATTGTCTCAAGCCCACAGGTCCAACTACTCATTTCCTCTGGGTAGCTGGTTGTGGCCAAGAAGTGACCAAAACATTGTCCCCTGTCAGCTCTACTATATACCTGGGAATTCTTAGAGAACATTCAAATACACTTGTAGAAACACTGTCTGCCAACCCTATACATGGTCATGGGCACACTCCCCCCTGAACAGACATACCTAATAGTTCAGCCTGTCCACCCATCTATTCACCTATAGATCAATGTTTGCCTTCATTGACAACACAGTACTGTGTGTGCTAAGGGTTCATCTTTGTTTTCTGTACCTCCCATGTACCTCTCTCTGTCTTCCTCTTCCTCAATGCTACTGTGTTGGTAACTCACATTTGGTACATTGCCCTTCTCTTCATCCAAATTAATACTTATCTCTACCCATCTAGCAGTCTTCCCTTCCCTCCCCTCCCAACCCTGGTAACCAACAAAAATTTCCTTCCATAGATAAACCTTTCCTTGCCTTTTACAATAACAGACTAATACAATATTTATCCTTCTATGATTGACTTACTTCACTCAGCATAATGTCCCCTGAGTTCGTCCATGTTATGCACTGTTTTGCAGATTCTACATTCTTCTTTAGGGTTGCATATGGTAGCAAATTATTCTTAAACTAGTTAAAACATTATTTTTCATTGGAAAAATGGTATGTAGTATATGAGCAAAAGTTTCAAATTCATGCTTAAGGGGGAAGCTGAGTGGTAGGACTTTGGGCATTCCACTCCACCTTAATCAGAACAGCACCAGGTAATGGATTTCTGCATAAGTGTTAAAGAAAGGGATGATTATATTTTTAAAATATTTTAAAATCATTGTTCAAGATAATCCATCAAATGTGGAAAAACCAAAATCTTTTGAATTCCTGGCTAGTTCTATTAGCTTTCCTACTTTTTTTTTGGTTCTATTAGCTTTTCTACTAGTTAAATATTTTAAATGTCTTTTAAAAAGTGAAACTACCGTTTCAGATGATTTCTTGAACCAGTGTATTTTAACACTTCTTGCCAAGAGACAATAAAAATAGCACATGCTTTGGTAGGAGACACACTTGGGTTTGAGTCCCAGTTCTACCACAGCTCAGTTACCCCATGTGTAAAAAGAAGATATTAATTACTATTAATTAATAACCTACTTCACAGGGTTATTGTGAGAAATGAAACAACATAGCTTCTAGTTTATAGTGGAAGGAGTATATGTTTGCTTCTCCTCTCTGTCCAAATTACATTAAAAGATCAAACGTACAGAAAGGAATAAACCCACAACAGGAAAAATGGTGGGTCTATCACCTGTTAAGAGAAATTCTATTGCTCTGGAAGTTAGAAAACAAATTGGAATGAAAAATAGCAGAGAAAGCCATAGCCCAGAATATAATATGAAGGGCTATGATAAAAGTTAGAACCTATCTGTCCTTCAAACCCTAAGGATTGGAAGGGGAAGAGGAAAAACTCAGGGACACAAAAGACAGAAGTGAAAATTGGGGCAGAATATGAGGAAACTTGTCCCCCTAAAGGCCACCTTCACTATCTACGAATACAAAGCACTGATAGCCAGACTGCAGATCAATCAGGCAAAAAGATCCCAAGGTTCTTTTAGAAAGAAATAGAACAAACTTATCAGAAAGATACAAGGCTTTAGAATGGGTATTGGCAACCTAGATAAAACAAACAAACAAATTCACTGCCATTGAGTTGGATCTGACTCATAGCAACCTCCTCCTTGGGTTTTGGAGGCAGTATCACTACAGAAGTAGATTGCCCAATCTTCCTTCCGAGGAGTGGCTGGTGGGTTTGGAGTGGCTGGTGCTTCTGGTTAGCAGTCAAGTGTCTTAGGCACTACGCACCAGAGGGTACACCCTAGATAAGGCAATCCTCATTCTGGCATTTGAGGAATCTATAGTCTTTAGTGCCCAACCTACTGAACCTAAATCACGGTTCTCAAACTGTGTGCCAAGGTGCCAGAGAGTACCACAACAAACTCAGAAGTGTCATAAAAAACATTACTAAGACACTAAGAGCACTGTAAACCAAAATAGATTGGGAACCTCTGCTCTAAAGCAAAGCATAACTTCACACATATTCATGGAGCTAGTAGTCAATCTTACTACTCAAAGAAAAGGCTTATTGGAAGTATATCTACTTATTCAAGTAAAAAAATATATACACACAAACCAACTACCCATTCTTAAATATAAGGAGACAATCAAGGATCACCCAACATGAGAAAAATTAGTAACACTAGAGGCCATACAAGAGAGAAAAACTAGCCACAGAGGAAACATATAATTCAGGAAAAAGAGAACTTAAAAACAAACAAACAAAAAATGCTCTGATTACTACACTCAGATTATCTGATATTATTACATTTATAAAATAAGAACAGGCTGCTATGATAATGGACTATTCTGAACAAGAATGAAAGAGCTCCTTAGAGACTAAAACTATGATTGCTGAAATTAAAAAGTCAAAAGGGGATGAAAAAGAATGTTAAGGGAATTTCCTAGAATATAGAGCAAAAAATGAAAAAAGAAAAGAAACATGTGCAATCCAAGAAATCCAAAATTCAATTAAGTTGAGGTTCTAGAAAGCAAGAAAAGCAAGAAAGCAAAGAAAAGGAGATTATGGAAGAAATTAAAACTAAAGTAACCAGCCTCTAGATTGCAGAGTGACACCAAACGGCAAGGCCAGTAAAAGACTCACACACATGGGCATTCTAGTTAAATTACAGATACCAAAGAAAAAAAGTCACCTAAAAGAGAATTAGACCAGCATCAAATTTCTCATCAACACTGTAGACTAGAAGACAGTGAAGCAATAACAAAGAAATGAAGGAAAGGTATTTTAGATTAGATTTCTATACCAACTCCAAGGACTGATAAAGTGACAGATTAAATTTATTTTTAGATTTGCACAATTATTTCTTTTTGTACCCTTTCACAGAAAAACGCTTCCCTAAAATGAGTGAGAAAGAAAAAAGATACAGGCTACTGAAAACAGTGGATCCAATCCCAGGGAATGGTGAAACTAAGCTGTAGAGTAAGAGCATACCTTGACAATAATGATTGGATCTAGATTGGATAAGAAGGGTGGAGGGATCCAAGAGGGAGTTCTAGGCTTAGAGCAGAAGGATTCCATGCAATTGTGTCTGAAAAGGCAGAAAAACCTGAAAACATAACACACACACACACACACACACTCAATACAGATTTATGACAAAATAAGTGGTACTTATTTTATAATCCTATCTTCTGCAATTGGTCATATGGTCATAGCTGATATGTATTACTACCATCTTCCACTATCCATTAGATATTCCCTATGCTTTCAGGAGCTCTGGTAGTGTAGTGCCTAAGGCACTTGACTGCTAACCAGAAGGCTGGCAGTTCAAACCCACCAGCCACTCCTCGGTATGAAGATGAGGCAATCTACTTCAGTAGTGATAATGCCTTGGAAACCCAAAGAGGGGTCACTATGACTTGGGTCTGACTTGACGGCACATAACAACAACAACAACAACAGCAACAACAGCAACATGCTTTCAGAAAGCACTTTAGCTGGTTTTGGTTCTTCAACTGGTATTATGACCTAAACCTCTAATCCAGAAGGATCTAAGCCATATCCTGCTAGGTTGCTGTAGTTTTCCACTGACCTTAATCACAATGCACAGAAGTACTTAGAGAGAGGTTTTATGGGAGCTCCTGTATTTCAGACATAATCTTCCTTATCTCCATGGTGTAGAAGCAGTCCAATTTCCCCCTGGCAATCAGGATCCTTCACAATCAGTAC